AATGTGGAATGTTTAAAAAATTTGAAAACTTTAAATATTTTGGTTTTTTTTCAGTAGATTGTAAAGTAAACATCTTTAAATTTATAATTTGTGAACAAAATAGTAAAAATTGTTTTATTTTAAATATTTCCCCAAAACAAGAAACTTGAAATAATTTTTAATTTTCAGTTAATTTCTTAGGAATTCAAATGAAGAAAACATATCAATTAGTTGCGGATTCCAATGTTAAAAAGTGTATAGAAACACATTTCAAATGTCATCAAGATGGTTATTGCATACATACAAAATATATTTGTGATGGACATTTTGATTGTTATGATCAAAGTGACGAAGAAAATTGTTCTTCATCTTTACTCGACTATTTTGTATGTTTTGATGGTAGAAGAATTGCTATTCATCAAGTTTGTGATTATGTATATGATTGTTTAGACAAAAGTGATGAAATTGGATGTGGTAAGTACAAAAAGAGAAACAAAAACATCAAAATCAAAAAAACAGAAAACAACTACTCTTCTTTCTTTTATTTAAGAAAAGAAGAAGTGCACTTCTAATTTGTAATTAAACAAAAATGAATTTCAATGCATTAACTCTATTATGTTTAGCCAATGTTCAAGTGGACAATGCTTAGAAGAAACAACTAACGTTTGCAAACAAGATTATTTCTGCTTTGATTCGAGTGATAAAGAACAATGCAAACTCATTTTGTTGAACCGTCGTCAAGTCTTTAAAAAGTAATCAGTTTCTATAACCATTTCTTTCTTCTTTTTCGTAAAATATTAAGAATGTCATCAAACATACTCTAACCTTCTCTGAGGGGAAGGGATGTAGAATTTTAAAAATTATAAAATAGTGAATACTTTTTACTACCAGTTTTACTTGTAATTTTTTCTTTGCAAAATTTTTCAGAATAGACGAAGAAAAGGTCAACACTGTGAAAGAACAGAGGAATTTTTTATCTGATGAATTTATTAACAATCTATGTGATTATCTTCATATATAAAAATTTAAAACAAAGAATAACGTAAAATGTAAGGATGAATTTTTTAACAGATCAATACCAGAACAAAATATTCAACATACAGAGTAATAATTTAAATATAGATAAGCAAATGTTGAACTAATCTGTTAAATTGCTGTGCAACTTAATCATAAGTTTACACCTGGTTGTTCTTAGAGTGAACTTGTTTTAGCGTTTTTCGAATAAACTAGCAATTTAACAGTTTAGATCTGACATATTTTTATACATAATAATAGATATTGATAAGCTAATAGGAGCAACATAACCCAAAATCTTACCTTCTGAAGAGTGTAGGATTGAAATGTGCTCCTATTAGGGGATCAGTACTATACAGTATATAAATTTATATAAATAATTTTATGTTAATTTTTAAAACACGCAAAACAAAAAAGAACCAAGTCTTTGTTCAAAAGAAATGAGTCCATTCTATGAATTCATAACAATGAAAAAATGGGAGCATTCTTTACTCCTCAACAGCCTACATCACTCTTGTAACGAAATATGTAAAATTGGGCAATATAAATGCAAAAAATATGGAACATGTATAGATAATATTTTTATATGTAATGGAAGAATTGATTGTTTTTATGGTGATGATGAAGAGAGTTGTAATAATAGTAAAGAGAATTGTTTTCTCTACGGTTTTAAAGTTGTTTTATTATTATTTTTTATTACTTTAGAAAAAGTTATAGGAACTCATTTATACAAATGTAGAAAAGAGCTTCGTTACAGATCTACAACAATCTATTGTACACCTAGTAGAAAAAAAATTCAAATTGATTGTAAATTTAATGATCATAAAATGGAATATTTTTGTAAAAAGCCTTCTTGTCCAAAAAGGTGTAAATGTATTGGTTTTCTAACATTAACTTGTTTTGAGGAACTTGTCAAAAATAATTACAATGACAAACATATTTGGAAAACAATTAAATTCATAAACTTTCCAGCTAAAACATCTTTAGAAATAATTGGAAAAAAAGACAATTTAGTTACAACAAAACTGGTAGTCTTTAATGGAAATTTAACCAATTTGAAAGAAATTAGTCATCTAAAAAATTTAGTTGTTTTAGATTTAACAAAAAATAATATCGTTTATTTAAATAATAATATTCTCTTAAAATTTAAGATTATACAAATCTTAATTCTAGCAGACAACAAATTGCAAAGCATTATAGATTTGAATAGGCCTATCTTTCCGAGTTCCCTTTTAGTTTTGAATTTAAGTATCTCTAGCATAGAGAATTATTCCATGAAATCTTTAGAGAATTTAAAAAAATTAAAAATTTTAGATTTTTCAAATTCAATTATATCTAATTTTTCAAATGATTTTTTACATCAACTTGAAAGTTTAATTGAATTTTATATTGAAAATTTAACATTGAAAGAAAGAGATTTTGGTGCAAATGTATTTAATGGATTAATATCATTAAAAAAAGTCTACTCTGATCATTATAGGTTTTGTTGTTTTATTAAAAAAGTCTCAATATCATTTTGCAAACCTGAGAAAAAAGCTACAAATTCTTGTGGAGAAATGATTGATCTAATTTTCTTAAAAGGTAACAATAGAGTATGAAAAAGAATTTTTTTCTGTTAATGTATTGAAATTCCCTAATTCCTGTTTCTGTTCTATTTAGTTATTTTCTATATTTATACTATACTTTCTGTTACAATGAATATCTACTCTCTAGTAGTACTTTTTAGAAATATGATCAGATTTTCAAAAGCATTCAACATTTTACTGGCAATTTCCGATCTTTTGTTCTCTATATACTTTACTATAATTTCTTATAAAGATTTAGAATTTTCAAAAACATATATTGATTACGACATCATGTGGAGAAATAGTAAACTTTGCACATTTAGTGGAGTACTAGCAAGTTTTTCATTTCTCTTATCAAATGTTTGTCAATTAATTTTAACTGTTGAAAAATGGAGATTAGTTCATTTTGGCTTAAAATTTAACCCTCTTTCAAAATTCATCATACTATTTTTACTATCTATTACAATCTTTGTATCATTACTGATATCATTAATACCTGTTTATATTTTTCCAGTTAGTAATACTAAAAAATAGGACAAGAATTTACTAAATAGTAAAAATATACAAAATTATTTCAGCATTACTACTCAAGATATTCCTTGTGTCTCTCTTTGCATTTAACAAATGAAAGACAAATTGGATGGCAATATTCATTTTCAATTTTTTCAATTTTCTCATTAATTAATGGTATGATTATTTTATTTCTATTTTTGGATATTTTCCGAACAATTACGAAATCAAAAAGTATTCTTTCAAAGTCCATATACAAAAAAAGGATAAAAAGAGTATTAAAAACTGGAATATTGATTATACTATCAAATGTATTGACATGGCTACCTTTAGCATTTATTGGTATACTTTCTTTATTAGAAATTAGTTTTTTAACTCATGATACCTATATTTGGATTTTTGTTCTTATTTTACCAATAAACACTCTTTTAAATCCTATTAATTATTCTGAAAGAATTCATCTTTTAGTTTGGGGAATAAAAGAGAGAAAGTAATAAAAAAAAGACATTTCTATTATTTTGCTTTTAAACAATCCAATAATTTTAGAACAAAGAACAAACTGATAGAAAATTATATGGAGAATGGTCAGTATTGTTTTTTCTTTATATCTAAATTTCTCTTATGATATCTTATCTTCTTTTCAAAGTTATGGAAATTTTTAATGATAATGAGAGATTCCATTTTATTTCTGAAAATGATGATTCTAATGATGACAAACTTAAGAATGAAATTCCAAAATTATACATAAAAAATACTTTTCAATTGATTAAAATTTTAAATGAAATTTTACAAATTATTAAAATATTTCAAAGATTACAAATCAATTTTAAACGTTTCGACCAACATACGTTTTTTTTCAATAGTTCAAATGAAAGATATATTTTTGGTATGATTATTAAAAAACACAATTTAATTTTTGGTTTATTAGATGAAAATGATCAGAATAGCATGAAGTGTTTTGGTGAATTTATTGATTTCTACTTACAAAAATTAAAAAAAGAATCAAAATCAATTTTTCCTATTTAAATTCATGTTTTTCATTTATTTTAATAAAGTCAGAATGGTAAACTTTCTTTGCCATTTTAAAAATTATTGATTCTCTTGTTTTTAACACTGTGGATAATCTCTTATTAACCATGAACAAGATGATCGATGAAAGATAAATAATGAAGTATTGTGTATGAAAATTAAGGTGAAAACGCTCGATATAATGAGTGACATAGTTTCGAATTCCGCGGAAGATCGGGGTGTCAGTGTTCAAGCATCTGGATGCAGGATAATGAAATAAGCCAAAATTTTCTTTCAAGATGAAGTTCTCTTTTCTAGTTAAGACTTTTAGAATATATTGTTTTGTATTACGAATTTTCGTTAGCAATTTCCTTTGAGTTTTATTTTAGCTTCTCTCTCGTGTTGCTCTATTGTATTTGCTCCTTATATACCTGATTGACCATGATATGAACCCAAGTCGCCTACCCTCCACACATGATACACTCTCATTCCTTCTCTCTCACATACATTCACACTAACTCTTACTGACACACAACACAGCTAACAATCTTTGTTTTGTTCCTATTCATTAGGCAATAAACAGTGAATTTGTTGCAGTTAGCTATTTACAACTATTCAATGAGCTCATTAATTCACAATACACTGAATTTATACAATTGATGTGGTCATTCTCAAAAAATGGACAGTTTTGCCATTGGTTGTAGCTGAGCACTCTAATCCTCAATAAAATCTCTAATCCGTATCAATATTTGGAATGATATTCATTATTCAAAAGGTCAATAGTAGACAGAGACACAGTAAAAAACAGACTTTTATTGTTAGTATTCAATAAGTCAGATGAATTATTCAAAAAAGTTGAGAGAAAACGTTATAATACGAAATTAGTTACTTTGTAAAGAGCTTTGCCTTAACATTTCTTTTAATGATGTTTTATATTTTTCAGTTGTTGTGTTTGTTATCTTTTTTTCTCGGAGATATCAAAGCAAGTAAGTTATACTTGTACTAGTTTGCATTTTTCTCAACATGATTTGTACTCAGTATTTAAAGATATGCTAAAAATTATCAGTTTTATCTCTCTTTCAATGTTAAATATAATAACACATAATTAGCGAAGATAATAATGCAATTTTTAATTACTAACAGACGGAAAATTGATTAATGTTGCTGACAAATTAATGGGTTCCAAGTGTTTTGTTAATTCAGTTAAACCAGCTTTGAAAGGACTGGATTTTGAATGCGATAATGTACTTTCTCCAAATTGGATCAATACCAATTCTTGGATAACAAATTGCAATCCAAGTTGTTTATCAGAAGAGCTAACAATTACTTTTAAAACAGCTTATGATGTTATGGAAATCTGTATTTCACAACCTTTTATATCGCTTGCAAACAAAGTACCAGATGTTGAAATTACTTGGAATGACCAACAATCATATGAGATAAAACTTGATCCAACTGCGTTAATTCAATGTTTTCTTCCCAAATTAAATTACGGGAAACAAATACAAAACATGACCTTTATTACGGTTCATACTGGTAATTCTATTGAAACTGGTTTTAGTTCATTAATGATATATGCCTATGATGATGGTTACGATTAATAAATATATTAGTATTATTTTTATATTACTAATTATATTCTTTATCTCATATGATAGATAAACTAGAAAATGCAAAGAGTGCAGAGTTTTTGACAGATATATCTTCAATAGAAAACGGAGCAACATGCAGAGCAAAAACTGAATATAGTAATCTTTGGGCGTGCCATCTGGCATTGGATTTCATAAGTAGCTTACTGGTGGCTCACCAAGAGTGGTCTTCTCGCTGCAATAATGGAGACTGTATTGGACAATTTATTGATGTTACTTTTAAGATATACGATACGCCAGTTATTTTTTGCCTGACAAACAGGTGAGATAAATAAAACAAAAATCATTAATTTAGCTTTTTTTTACCTGTTTTTTTTACATAATAGGCAATCTTATACACAGTTTATAACAAAAGCCTCAGCAAAATGGTCATCTGGCTTGATTAGAACTCACGATTTAGGAAAAGTATACACTCGATTTTGTTATAACTATTCAAGTGGATTTGTAGAAACAGGAGTTAGAGTTTCAGTAGTGGAAAAAAAGGGTACCCATAGTCTTGGATTTGGTCAACTTCAAGTCTTTGTTAAAAGTATGCTGTCTATGAATAAAATACTTAATTATTTTAGTTGTAAATTTCATTTCTGTCCTAAAATTAGATTCAGCTGAAAAAGTTTATGCTCTACAAGGCACATCTGATTTTGTTTACAATCTTCCATCATATATTCATAATAACTTTAAAGCATTCAGCTTTAGTTTATATGGAAACAACAAAACTTCTGGGGACAACTGTGGAGATATTTATATTACATTCTCTTTTAATCAGACCAGCGTTTTTAAGATTTTTATATCAAATATCGTAAAGAGTCATATTGTAATTGTTGATCCTTTTGCTAAAGTTTATGACTCAATTATCCAACAATATATCAAATGTAATGAGTGGAACGATTTTTGGATAACGACAACTAATGGTAAAATTCAATTTGGCAAAGGCTTATTATACAACAATAACATAAAAATAAGTACTCAATTAGAGATAAATAGAATATCTCAATTAGTATGGAGGAATACAAATTCTAGTATTGATCATAATCTCAAAATTAATGATATAGGTATAATTAAATAAAAAATAATTTTTCATATAAAACATCATTTATTTAACGTAATAAAATCAATAACAGATGGAAGAACAATTCATCTACATATAAAAGAAAATTGTACAAAGAAACAGCATGAATATCTAAATGATAAATTAATATCAACTTGTGTAGCCTTGTCAAAACTTTCAAACGTAATATACACATCAACTTTAAATGGTAAAACATACCGTTCAACGGAAATACCAGAAATAGTTTTAAAATTCAACAAAACTATGGAAAATTTTTTCAATATTCAAGTATTTTATGAAAATATGTATGAAGATAATTTTTTTGGAATTTGTTCATTAAAATCTTCTTTTCTCAGTGATAATAATTATCATAAGTATGTATTCTCTTGTGATGAGTTTAATAGTATTTTAACCAATTTATATTGTGTTATTAACTTTAATGAATTACCTCACAACCCTGCTGAGATATGTTACATAAGTTATTAAAGGAAAGAACGTATCTAATAGACTAACAGACTTTACAGCGAATGAGGGTCAGGGTGAAATTTATGTTATTAATAATAATGAATACAGTTTCTGATCATTCTGTCCAACTAAACAATTTAACAAGTAGGGAAGTTAGTTTGGAATAGCGGGGAATATGAAATAACGACATTCTACTGATTGATTGAAATGAAATTAAACGCCATCTGTTGTCATATTAATAGATTTATAGATGAGAAAACTTCAACTCGTTTACATTTTACGCTAATACTAACCAATCAGTCAACACTCATTTTTCCAATTGCAGTTTAACCCTTAGTGAATCCCAAGCCTCAGTCTTAATATGATGAAATACAGCTATATTAGCCAAAATTTCAATATTCCTAACCCTTCAATAACTCAATGGACATTTGAAAAATTGATTATTATGATGAAACTCAATAATTCTAGTTGAACAATGTCAGAAAAAATAGTATAATGAATTAGTTTTTACTGTAATTCTCTTTGTAACTTAGCTTTAACTCGTTTTTGTCCATCCCATTCCATTATTCTGAATTTTTATTTACTAGAGCTTAGTTGACAAGAGATCTTGAAAAAAGCCTTACATCAATTAATCAATCTTTAAGTTCATCATTTAAAGAATGAGTGAAATATTGAAGAGAGATATATTGAATACTGCAATAAAATAAATCTTTAGATTTATTTTCTAGAAAGAATAAAATAGAAATCAGCAAATAAACTACAAAAGCATTCAACAATTCAATAATTCAATATTTCTATATATGTATATATTAGTATATATAAATCTAATTTCAACTATATGAAAGATATGGAGAAAATGTTTGTTATTTTCGCTCTGTTTTTCCTACTAGTTCAAAATTGTGTGCTGATCACAATTCCATCTGGTAAAATTAAATTAAATAAATTTCAAGTTTATAAAGCTTCGTTCTTTTTTCATAGATGGCAAATTAATAAATATTGCCAGCAAAAGTAATGGAGCAACTTGTACAGCTTCAAGTGTATATACTACATCAATTGATCAGAAATGCGATTATGCGCTAGAGCCTTTCTGGATTAATCACAATGACTGGGCAGCAACATGTTCATCAAACTTAGATTGTAAAGCATCATGGATAAAGATCATTTTTAAGAAAGCTTATGATGTAATACAAGTGTGTGTTGTTCAAAGAGTAGTTGCACCCGCTAATTTACTAAGAAAGATTGAAATTAAAATTGGCAACAATCCAATAAAGATATACAATGTAAATCTTATTGAAACTTGCTTACTACTTGAAGATGGAATTGGATCTAGCGCATCTGAAATAGAACTTGAGCCTAAAGAATTTATGAGTGCAAGTTCAATAAATACAGGATTCAATTCTATCAGTGTTTTTGCATACGAAGAAGGTTCATTTACATTTATATATAACCGTATTTAACAAATTTTTCCACTTCTAGATTCCTCTGTCGAGAAGGGAAGTGATATATTTGTAAACATAGCCGATTACGATTTGGGAGCAACTTCTACTTGTTCGTCCGAACAGAATAGTTTGAAGTGTCCATACGCGCTTAGTAGAGTATTCTCAAAGTCTTGGGTTGCAACGTGTCAAATAGGAGGAGCAAGTTGTATTGGTCAATATATTGAAGTAACATTTATGCACTTGGCGCAACCTAAAATGTTCTGTTTGTCAAATAGGTCAATAGAAATTTACCTTTCGTATAAAAAAAGGACTTTATCAATTTTTCTGTCTACAACAACAGATATGATCATGTTTACAAGATTTTAACTGCCAAAGTAGAATGGAGTTCAGGTTTTAATGAGACAATATCCCTTCCTAACGATAATAACAGACACTGTTTCAAATATTCAAATGCTCCCGTACTAGAATCAGGATTTAAAATTATTGCCAAAACTTCATCGCATCCGAAAGATATAGGATTTCAATATATTAATGTCTTTGCAAAGAGTAAAAGGCTTAAATTATTGAAATTATCCATATGTTTTGTTATTTTTTTTTAATTTCCAAATTTAGAGATGGATGAAAGAGTTTTTACTATTCAATCAAATACTGATTCAATTTATCACATACCACCTCATCTTAATCGGAATTTTAGGGCAATGAGACTTAAATTTAAGGGAGAAGATCAAGGAGAAGCTTACGATTGTTCCTCCTTAATAATCAGTTTCAAGAGCAAATTGTCAATCCAGTTCATTTTAAAGCTAGATGAAATTATTGGTAATAGCAAGATTTCTTCAATTCATCTTACAGGCCCCGCTATAATTTCTAAAGTTCTAACGAATTCTGAACCATTAATTAGCTGTACTAAATGGAATGAATTGTGGATAGAATTGTCAACAACTGATGTAAAAGTTGGCTTGGGTAAAACTTATGGCAGTTCTATATTGGCAGTTGTCGAATCAAGTTTCTGTCTCGAAATTACACAAATTCTATTTAAAAACGGCAATGGATATAATATTAAAAATCATATTCAAATATCTGATAAAGGTATACAATTTTTTAATATCTCTCACCGATCCACCTTTCTACTTGTAAATATAACAATTGCAGAAGGAAGTACTCTAGCAGATAACACTAATGACTGCCATATAAATCCCTACTATGAAACACTTGATAAATCAATTCTTACATGCGTAGCTCTGGCGAAGAGAAATAATATTTTAGAGTATAAGTTGACAAATGGAAATGGGACGATAACTAATTATACCTTTAATGAAATAATCTTCAAGAAAACTGCTCCATTATCAGGAAATATTAATGTTTATTTTTTCTTCAAGACTAATAACATTGAAACTGGAAGTAGAAGAATGTGTAAAGCAAAACCAATGCTTGATAAAAGTTCATTTTTGCATTTCGAATTTGAGTGCCATGTAGATGAAAATCTCAATTTGAATAGCTTATTTGTCAGTATAAACATAGATGATTTAACGGATGTTAAGAAATTATTTCTCTGCGAAGTTTTCATACAGAATTAGCAGAAATACTCTAATGACATGAGAAAATACAGTTTGTTTAAATATTGATATATTTGATTATATTGCAGGTGATTTCCTACTAATTTAAATAAAAGTATCCATCATTGAAGAATTACTGTAAATGGTAAATGGTATTTTAGTTAACTTTGAAGAGAATATGTTAAGCAACTAAAAACACTTTTAGATGAATTCTGAAAGGAAATCTCAAGTCACTAAATTTTCAACAATTTTCAAACTGGCACAAAATATATTTCATATAACTCTTTTAACAATACAGCTAGCTAAAAAGTACAAACAAAATGGCCAAGTTGCAATAATACTCTGCTTAATCTCTAAAGAATCTCTATATAATGTTTAGCATAAACTGTTTGCCTGTATTCCATAGATTAAAAATCAATCCTGTCTAGCTGTTTCTCTGTTACAAAATTGCTTCCATTCAAAATTGGGCAACTCTGGAAAAAGTCATTGAGTACATTCTAGTTGTGAACAATATACAAACGCCTAACTAGTTTTATTTATACAACTCTTCAAAACACTTCTCCTTTGTCACAGTGTTCATTAGAAAATAGTTTAAAGCCCTTATTCAACATTCTTTTATCAACAAGAGTTAAAAAAAGGCCTATGCTCATAATGAACTTTCTTCACTGAAGCATACAAGAGATATTTGTTTATACATTATTGATATAGGCCTAAATAAGGAAGATAAAAGTTAGGTTTCTTGAAGATAAATCGGTATATTCAGTTATCAAAGTTTTATTAAAATTTATTTCCCAACATTAAAATATTAAAATATTCGATAAAATAAAAAAGAAAATTGTAGTTGTTAGCAGAGCTCTATAAGAGTTTCCACTGCTTGGATAAACCACTTTATTGTTACATTCACCACTTTGACAATAGCATTCCGATGTACCCTCTCCATTCACAGTTCTCGTTGCACAAGATGTTTTTGATTCAGCACTACATTCTCTTGTTACTGTTACTTTACCTGTAAAACATAAATTTCATATATATAAAACCAAACAAATATGATTAAACATAAATCAGCCAAACCATTTAATTTCTCGATAAAAGTTCTACAACTATTGGCATTTTCACATGAATTTGTAGATTTAAAATTTTGAAAACAATTTGAATCTGTTGAACTGTCACACTTATGGCAAGTCAAACCTTAAAGGATAAAGTAAAGTGTACAAATTTTAAAAAAATAATTCTTCTTAAAAGAACAACTTTTTACCATTTCTAACTAGTTCATTATTACATTTGTCTTTTTGGCAGCTGCACATATAAGTAGAAACATCTGCTATTTTTGTCAGTTCACAACCAGTCTTGATATCACTATTACAATATCTGGTTACTGTAGTAATACCTGCAAATAATCGGAATCTGTGTCTGAAAAAAATAACAATATTTGAAGATATTGTTCGTACCGTTTTCAGTTACTCTTTTAAATGTACAACTTTTAGCATTATCACAGGTTGGAAGACTGTCAAGATTTTTTAAACAATCAACACTTGAACTTGAATTACTATGGCAATCATAGCATTGAATGCCTGATGATAAAAAGCAATTTATCAATTAATGACAACTCAAAATGAGAAATATACATCACCATAGGATATTGATAAAATGCTGGCAAAGAGAAAAAGTTGATAAAGCATACTAATATTTTTGAGTCCTTTCATTTTGGAAGTATTGGATCAAACTATAGGTTTTCGATATAGAGGCCATCTTTTTATCTGCAAAAACATGAATGGCACACAAATTTCGCTTTCAATAAACTTTTACAATCGAATAGGCCAAGTTACATTCAATAAATCTTAACTTTATTTAGGTCGACATTTGAAATAACATTAACTGGTTTTTAAGTTATTTTTCTTCCCGAATGAGAAGTATAGAAAATGGTATTTGTTGCAGCTATTTTTAACAAAAATTAATAACAAATTTTCATATCTTCTCTTATTTTCTAACTTTATGTTACAGCATTTTCTAAGCTTTTTACGTGCCTGGATGTTTATCAAGAAGAAAAAGCTATTGGACTTGTAACTAAGGCTGCACTTTTTTCTGTCATTATGTGATTATTGTATTGTAATATTAACTTCCCTAAATTATTAATAATGTCGATTTCGTTTCAATTTATTTGTGCTTAAATCGTTTCTCTGACACCATTTTGTTGCATTCGTTCCTTTTATATTTACCTTGGGTTGTGTTTGTGTCGCTTAACTGGGTGCTTGACTGTGGTGCCATATCTGCACCACTTCTTCAGTTTTACTTAACTTGTGACGCAATATCAAGTCAAACCGATCGATAATGATATGAACCCGAGTTACCTATCCTCAACACATGATAATCACTTACTCCTTCTCTCTCATATACATTCACACTGGCTCATACTGGCACACAACATAGCAAACAAGTTTTATTTTGTTCATCATATACTGTATGCCTCAGTTTGTAATGTTGAGGAATGTCTGAAATTGTGTGCAAAACATTCAACTTGTATGACTGTGGCAATCAGAAATGGTCAGATATAATGCCTTAAAAGTAAATGAACCCTTTCTCCATCTGTGAACATGACCCGCTATTTTAAGATGATGAATAATAGATTAAGTTGTTATATTAGAGATATAAGTACTTCAATTGATGAAACATTTACAATAGATGAAAAATAAGATTCAATAGCCGTAGCAACATTGAAAAGCAAGCCATTAATATTCCCCTCAAATGCAATACATTTTAAAGTACTTATTGCTGTTTTTAATAAGAGATATTTTAAAAATAGATATAATTTTCAGACATCAAATATAAAGTTAATAAATTAAAATTTTGGAGTAACAACTTGTTTCATCGGCAAACTAATTAAAGATGAAATGGATAATTCAACAAAATTTTAAAATGATGATAATCCTATCTGAAAGAAACAAAATTTATTAGCTGTGTTGATGAGTCATCATAATATGTGTGTGTGTGTTTGTGTACGATGGAACAAAGATGGACAAGTCAGTTTCATATTATCGCAAGTCTTGTTTTTTGAGAAGAGAATTTATATCAGACAAGTAACTTATTTATATATGTTTTAACAGATTATCAGATTAATGCCACTGAACAGAACGTTTGTGTGTTATGTGTCAGTATAAGTCAGCGAATGGATGAGAGAATGATTGTGTGTCAGGACGAAGGTGTTTAACTCAGTCTCTCTGAGCTACAGTCCCGATAAAAAGTCTCGGCCAGGGTTGTTCTCAGAGCGGAAAAAGTGAATTATTTAACTAACAGGACTTGCTTAATTATCTTTTTTTTGTTTAGAGTGAAGGATAAGACATTTATACAACCGAATTTATAAATAGAATTCATTAAAAAATTTTTCCTGCTTTACAGTATTTTTTATTTGAAAATTTTTAAAAACAAGGAGAAAAAATTTCGGCCATGCTTCCAAAAAACTTATCAAATGTCAATTTTAAACTAATAGTTTATTGTGTAACCTTTTTTTTGGATAACTAGTCGACACCTTTTTTTGATTGATCTGTATAGATTTTTTATGTAGTCCCCAGAAATGGAAAAAAATTCATCTTTTATAAGTATCTTCAAATCATTCAAATTTTTGGGTAATTTTTCATAAACCCTCTTTTTAAGCACTGCCCAAAGGTTTTCTATTATATTGATATCAGGACTTTGGGCAGGCCAATCTTTTATAAATTTTATTTTATTTTTTCTGAGGCATGTTTTAGAAATTTTCGAGGTATGGCATCTTGCCCCATCCTGCTGAAATGTGTTTTGTCTAGTGTATATAGGCAATAGATGATCTTTTAGAATCTCTATGTATTGCTGTGAATCCATGGATTCGTCACAAAATGCAAGAGCTCTGGAACCATCATATTTTATAGCTCCCCAAATCATTACCTTGCAGTTCTTTGCTTTAAAGCTCTTTCTGCAATATTGTGGTAGATGTTTATCTCCTGTTTTGCATCTGACTCTTGTCTTTTGCTTTGGGTACAGCTCCAAAGTTGATTCGTCCGAAAATATGTAGCTTTCTGTCTCCTCCTCAGTTTTTTTAAGAATTTTTTTGGCAAAGAGAATTCTCTTCTTTCGGTTACCTGAGTTAGTCAATGGTTTCACCTTTGCCACATAGCTCTTTACCCCGTAATTATAAAGGATCTTCTTAGCAGAAGATAAACTTACCTTACCTGCCATACTCCACTCATTGCCTGTCTGGCAGAAAAAAATGGGTTTTTTTTTTAATTATAATAAGATTCCTCTTATCTGATTCGCATATCTTTCTTGGACGACCAGATCTTGGTTTGTCTTCCATTGAAGAACATTCTTTTGCCTTTTTTAGGTTGTATCTCACACTTGTACGAGGAATATTTAGCTCTTTCGATATTTTGACCTGGCTTAGCCCTCTTTTACTTAATTCTACAATTTTCTGTCTCATTTCAAGACTTATCCTGCCCATTTTTTAATTTTTTATTGTTCTGTTGTTCTCTGATTGTGTAACACTACTCAGGAAATGTCATAGAAAAATATTAATGGGGTTTTTGTCTGATAATTATCTATTTTTTGGGCAGGAACAGGGAACATGGCCGAAATTTTCTCTCCTTGTTTTTGAAAATTTTCAAATAAAAAATACTGTAAAGCAGGAAAAATTTTTTAATGAATTCTATTTATAAATTTGGTTGTATATATGTCTTATCCTTCATTCTAAACAAAAAAAGATAATTAAGCAAGTCCTGTTAGTTAAATAATTCACTTTTTCCACTCTGAGAACAACCCTGGCCGAGACTTTTTATCGGGACTGTATATCTCAGGTCATAAATATCGAAAAAAACTACTGATGAGCACAGTCAAATACCCAAGTAAGCGACGCTAGCGAGGTATAACAGGGAGTGAATGTAACAGAATGGCATGAGAGAACAGAGAGCATCATAAATATAACTTGACACGAAATTATTAAGCAATACAATAAATTCGTGGTACAAGGAAATAAAACGTCTTGTAAAGCCATATTTGATAGGAATTTGAAGACTTTTTTCATTGAAAGTATCTTGTTTATTTAGACAAGATCTAATTGGAAAGCAAATATTGAATAATATACTAATATATTTAACACTAATTGTGTCCAAAAACAAGCTCATAGAATTGACCAACTGTTACTTATAGATTAGTTAATGATTCAATACATTTTTTTCTTTTGGATGTCAATATACTTTTTCTTTTGATGGTTGTAATTTCTCATAAACTGCAATCAACTCAGCTTCATTCTTAAGCTCATTAACCATATGTTAAAAGACAATTTTCTATTGCTTAACATGTGTATTATTATTTACTCTATATTGAGTTTCCTAAAATGTTGAAGAGGTTCGGCCGCCTTCTTCTTACTTTCATCATAGAAAAGATTATCAGAATTTGTTCTATCCAGAATGATATCTCTCATTTTGTATACTCGATCGGCTGTTTGGGCTTGGAAAAATAATAAAAAGTTGATTGTTAATAATAAGAGAGAGATAAATACTCTATACCTGCAATTTCTGAAAGACTTCCGGCTCTAGGTCCATCGTAGTCATCCGGTAGGAATTCATTAGGTAGCATTCTCTTGGGAAAATATTTGTAAAGCGACTCAAGCGTTTCGTGTACTCGCAACTATTGAAGAAGGCGAAGCAAAGAAAGAATAATTGGAGCAGGTATTGTTTAAAAACTAACCCTCTCCTTATGTTTCTGCTTCATGAAGGGTTTATACATCGCAAATATAGTTTCAAAGAGACCGCCAACGTTATAGTAATGGAAACCTTTTATCCGTCCAACTTGAGCATTCTAGATATTGTAACCATATTCTAGATATTGTTTGAACGCCAAATTTAAATATACCTGACTTTCTTTATTATACTTGAGAGAATCAGGATCATTAAACATTGACATCATTTTAAGGCTGATACCAGTCATGTCGAATATCATAACTATACCATTAACTTGAAACATTTCATCTTCCATGATGGATACAAAAATCAAATTCATGACTTTCATAAATTCAAAAAAGCTATATTTTTTCTTTATCTCCTCAAAGGGTATTGCGTCTAGGTTTAAAAGTTTAATTAGACAAGACAAAATGATTAACATTTTAGATATGCATACTTAGTTTATAAAAAAACACTACTCTACCATCGTCGTCGTATCCAGGCAACATCATCAGTTGTCTATTAGACGGAAAGAGAGTTTTGTTAATAGTAAAAGAATGTTTATAAATCAATTTAAGGGGTTGCTTTACCCTTTTCTAATCACTTCTTGAACAGTTTTAGAATGACTGTCCAAGTTGCTAATGCAATTTTTATTCTTATAAAAGAACTTGGTTACATTCTCAATCGTCTCTCTTGCTTTAGCTTGACTGTATTTACTGTGCCTTAAAATTCTAATTAAGTTAATTGTTCCTATAAGATAAAAGACCATGTATTAATCAACATTTAATAAGATGAAATTCTTCAATACACCGACTTGTATCAAATTTAAAGTGTTTTTGCTCATTAACCCAGTCTCTTAAAGCTTGAACAGCTGATAATCTATCACTAGGTATTTCGTTTAATTCATCTTTTGCTTTCTTAATGTACTTTTCTTCCAAAGTGCAAACATAGCTTTCCTCCGCCATGATTTCTTGTCAGGTCACTTGTTATCGTTCACGTTTCTTAATATATATAGGTGGCGCTAAATTCAAAATGAAGTTGGTTTTCTTCAAAAATTTCTAAATTTGTCGATTAGTAATCTCAAATGATATAAATGACTACTGATTAAATGATAAATATATTGCACAATATTCCCCAAGAATTTTATAACAAATGCTTTTAGTATAAAGTTAAAGATGAGTCATTATCTCTAATCAAACACTGATAAGCTGTATGTCGCAATATATAAATTATGTATATAAAGTGCTGATAACCTGTTTTTAGAGGCTTCTCTACTTTCTATAATTGATAAGAATTTTGATAAATAGTTATAAAGTAAAAGCCTAAAATACCCACACAGAATACATTCCAGCATAAAGATTTGGGTATGTAAGTCTGAATTTTTGTTAATAAGTTGGTAGGAGCATTTTTTAATTGAAAAATGGTTAGGCAGAAGAAAATAGCAACTGATTTGAACTTAGGAGGGTCTCCTCTAAGGGTTAGGGCTAATGGAAAAGGGTAGGTACAGCTAAGGGCTGGGTTAGGGTTAGGGTAAAAGCACCAATTTGTGGACGTTTTCTGTCGCATCTGCAAACTATTTATCCATGTGGTCAAAATATCTTCAGTCGATTTTAGATTATGTGACCATTTGAATGCATAGATATTTCCAGGAAAATCACGCCCATTATAGGAATTATAGCATGTTCTAAGATTAAGAGAACGACTGCTTGTTGTATCAGTAATGAAGTGTTCAAAGTTATATACTCTATTTACATAACATTTCCCTCAAGTGACAATTTAAGTGAAAATTGGTCTACTTTTACAATGCTATAAACGAATTCATTTGTTCCATAACTTTCTGGTAAATAATATTTGAAAACAAATTGTATAATCATTGGTGAATATACATTCGTAAATTGTCATGAATAGATCAAAGAAAAGATCAAATGCACTTTGCCATATTCGCAAATATGACCTGACATCAAGTCAACCCTCCTGGACAACGAGATGACTCTGAGTCATACAGTTGTTTATATGTAGACATTTTTGGCGCTTTCATTCCTCGCATTCGATTGCTTTAATGACACCCTTATAAATAATCAAAATATCCAAAATATATGCAACCGTCAGCATTAAATTTCACACCATTACCCTTAATTATTCCGTGTTGAATATAGTCACTGATATCAGTTGAAGTTGTACCATCCGAAATTGTCTTATCTGCTATAGCATTGTACCACTCATACAGTAGAATAGTATTTGCCTCATTTAACAGAAAAGGCAATCTTGAGGAGCCTAACGAGAGGGTGAAGAATAGAAAATTTTCAATTGAATCTTATAAAAAAAGAGAGGAAAAATAAAATTTGCTAACTTGGAGAAATACGAAATAAAATTATTAAATATGAAAAAAAAGTTTTTCTTTCATAGAACAGTTCTACTATTAACATTTGCTGTCTAATCAAATAAGCTGAAATTGTCTTTATAATTGATTAATTGCTTATTTACTAGATATTCTGTTCTGACAGTAATGTTAACTTAGAATAGCAATTTCAATAGATCTCTCAATGTCATTAACAAATAAAAATTGCTTCTTTTCAGAGAAATATTATATCTAGAGCAATAATCCATTACCTGGAAGACTACAGCTAAAAATATTTTAGTTTTATGCCATTTTATCTACAGTTTAAAAAACTACTGTCAATAAAAGATGAAAATCGAACCTCCAACTAATCATTTACACTTGATTATCACTTGTGTATTTTGTTTCACATCTAACCCTAACCCTAACCTAAACGTTTCTTTCATAATGTCGCTTTAAACAGCTCTTTTACAAACTTCAAACTGCACTCATTGTCTGATAAATTACCTTTAATTTAATCTAAAGTATCCTTCTTAAAAACAACGACTCTTCCTCCGTAAGATATTAGTGAAATTCTAAATATAACCATTTGTTTATATTTAAATCCTTAAGCTCTTTCTCTTTTTCTAATAATACTACAATCAATCTTCTCTCCATATTAAGAAGCAGAGTAAGCCCATATGACGTCATAAATAAAAGCCTTTTTTTATTAGATATTTTTGTTTTACAAGCCGAAATATATAACTGCCAGGTTATTAATTAACAATGCATATGACGGATGCACTTATCCTGGTCAATAAATTTCATTATGTATGTTGACATATATTTGTGATGTTTCACTCCTAACTGAACGTTGTCTCCGATCTCACTTTACAGACTTATTGGCTTATCCCTCCTTCTTTTAAAAATTTTTTAAAAGCAAATGTAATTGTTTTAAGGATGAGATTTTATGCTGTAAATTTATGACATCATATTTTATCAATCGCTTAAGATATTCCCGTTAGCTATTACTGAGTTGGCAAGAAAATTACAACAACAAGGAGAATGTAAAAACTAATCAATCATTTGCATATATAATTGCGTAAAAGCTACTTAAACAAGCTAAGGTCAACTACTAGGTTGTATTTATTCATTAAAAATAGTTTGTTGTATAAAAGGGACGTGAGATTTGCTTGGAAGTTATATTGTCTAGACGAAACAGTATTTCTCATCACTAAGAATCTGAGAAGAAAGTTGTACTTTTTTTAATTAGTTAGAGATCCGAGAGCAATTTTTTGACATTTTTATTAAGTTCAAAAATGGCAATTCCATCTTTATCAATTTTAATTTGTGTTTTGTTCTCTCCAACCGTGAAATCAAAAGGTAATGTTCTTTTCATTGCTTGCTTAACAAGCTGAACCTTAAATATAAAATATATATTTAATAGTTTTTGGTTTGGAATATTATAACTTATCCAATCATTTCATGCCTAATTATCCTCTTCGATTGAAGGAGATTGGAAATAAATCCGTATATATGGCAACTGTAGATGATTGTAAATCTATCTGCGACTCGCGAATGGATTGCTTGTAAGTAAACAATATTTTTACATTCCTTTAGAATTAAATCTTGTCCACTTCTTTGCTACAGATCTTTCAGCTATCAAAGAGCTGTTTCATACTGCTACTTTAAAAATGAAACCAAAAGTGGTATTTTCAAATCGCAATTCTATGATCACTACTTTAAAATTCAGTGTAAGATACTATCTTTTATGTTTATGTGAAAGTTCAACTTTCATATTCATTATTAAAAATTCACGCCATAAAAGAGATCATAATGATCTTATTCCAGTTTAAACAATAAAGATGGTAAACTACAACTCTGATAAATGATAACATTTTACTAAACAGATATTTTCAAGAATAGAGGTCAATTATGGGTAATTCATTTGAATCTTATTAATCAAAATATACATATATTTAAATATATGTTAATGAAGGGTAGAACATCAATCAACGGGCGTTTTTATGCAAAGTTATTGATAGAATAGACGCACTGAAGGCTTTTAAACTTTCTTTAATTTACTTTTCTTTACTATTATAAATGTATATTTAGAGATTGGCTACAGTACTTTGTTATGTTCTACAAGTGAAAAACTAGAAGTCAGTTTTTGGAAAGACGATATCAATAAGTTATCGATAAGATTGCTTAAAAAGACTGTCAAAAAACCTTTTCGCTATTCTAGTTATATTATTTTGAACAGCATGAAACATGAACAACTGAAATATTCCAATATTATAATATAAAAGCTATTGTTCATATTTATAAACATTGTTCTAACAATCTACAAACAGTTTATAAACTTGATTAAGAAAGTTGACATTTAGATGGTGATGGAAAATTTTCTTCCAATTTCAATGGCAGCTCGTTGAAGAAAGGAGAAAAATTAATATGGAATGAATTCATTACAATTACAGCTTAGAAAGAAATCTTCCATCTCCAATTCTATGTGATTCTACTGTGATTTTGAATTGGTTGTATATCCATAGAATTTGTATGCATTCTGTCATCATAAACGAGAATTTCACACTCATTTTTTATCTACAACTACCTTTAATTCTATAGAAACGTAAAAGGACCAACAATGATCAAATCGTAGGTACTCGAGTAGAACAGTACTTCCTGGAACCTCTGTGATAGACACTCTATATGATGTTTCCTTACTATCTCTCTTAGTGGAAAAGGATTTAAATTCGCTAAATTCGCCTTTCAAAACGATGGAACAACGATCCATTTCTTTTTTCCCATCTTCTCACTGCTTTGTCAATCAAGACGCTACTTTCATATTATGATTATCATACGTTTGTTAATAAATACAATAATCTTGAAAACTTTTAATCTGTCTTGACAATCAGGAATTTTTACTTTTCCATCAATTGCACAAATCAATTTCATTATTAGACTATTTTGAACAAAATGAAAGATTAATGATAAGTATCCATGAGTCTTGGTTAGGATGACGTATGAAGTCATTCACCTGTATAATTTTATAATGTACTTGATAAACTTTCAATTCACACTAAATGATTTATAAGGATCAATATTGAATCACAAAAATGTTATGAGTAGTTTGTGAACAGCTAGTTTTCACATAAAAAAAGTAAAATGCTAAGAATAAATAATCCATTAAACAATACAAATTTTCGATCTTTGTTAATGTTATTTAAGGTTATTGAATTTTATTAGAGTTCATTTTTATTGTAATACAAAAGGTCTTGGAATAAATGAATTGATCTATTAAGGATTACAAGTGTTCAATCAATTGTCTTATATTTGCATATTTAAGTTCAATTTAACAATACTCAGTTACTTACTATCGGTATTCTAACAAAAAATGACAAAGTTAACTTTACAAACTTCCATTGTCAGTTTCTTATGTTTATTTTCCTTATCCTATACATTCAAAAGAGGTATGTTTATTCATTTTTTTATTACAATTCACTCCAAAAGGAAAACGTGCATTTATCTTCTCAATTTTTAGGTGGAGGACTAATTAATGTGGCGCATGAAAAATACGGTGCATCCTGCACTGCAAACTCAGAGTTTGATGATTTACATAAATGTAACAATACATTGCATCCTCAATGGGAAAATAATGATGAATGGATGAGCAACTGCAATAATGAGAATGATTGTCTTTTATCATATATCCAAATAAATTTCCCCAAACCATATGATATCACTCAAATATGCATACATCAGAGATTCTACAGCTCTAAATTTCATTTGGAGAAGGCGATTGGTAAATTTAGTAATGGCGCCACTGCTACTATATACTTTTTTTCCGGACAAATCGAAAGTTGCATTCTACTCGATGAAGATATTGGAAAAGATTCAAACTGGATAAGATTTCAATACTTGAAAAGTTCTGAATATCAAAATACAGGATTGCGGGCCGTTTTAGCCTATGCTTACAAGGGTAAGAGTAATAGTTTAAAGGAGAGAAGAGTGATTTATTAAGCTTTTAACAGATTCAGTTGATGTTATTGATGATAATGAAGATGATTTACATTATACAAATGTTGCTGATAAAACAATTGGTGCAACTTGCGAACAGAGCAGCCAGAAAGGCATTTCCTGGAAGTGTCAGAATGCCATAGATAATTTTAGTAGAGTGTATAATGGCCGACCAGGATGGGCTGGCAATTGTAATGCTGACACCTGCATAGGCGAATATATAATTATTCATTTTCCCTTTAAAGTAAAACCAACAAAGCTTTGTTGCGCCGTAAACAGGTAATCAAAATATTTATAATCGTTGAGACTTAGAAAACTTTCTGTTTGCTTTTCATTTATTCAAATAGCCAAAGTTCTACGACATGGACAGAGACTTTTAATATTACTTGGAGTTCGGGAAGTATTTCTAGTATGAGTTTGAATGATCCTGACATAAATTGTCAGGATTATGAAGGAAAACATATTGAAAAATCTGTCAAGCTCACAATAAGTGAAACTATCACGATTCCAATAAATGGTTTTTCGATTATTCAAGTTTTTGCCAGAGGTAAGTCTACCTATAACTTGCATTTCGCCTCTTGTTTTGATAGAATTCCTTTTGTATTTTAGTGATACCAGAAAGAATTTTTAAAATACAACCTCGCGATAAAGTCACCTATTATCTACCACTGCAATCCAGATCTATAGTATTTGGTTATCATAGTGACAAATGTAGAGAAACTATCTTCTACTTTAAAACTGATGGTGGCGAAAGTGTTTTTACTTTAGACATTACTTTGTTGGGAGATAATAAAGGATTAACACTTTTTCAATTCAGCCATCTAGAAGGTATTTTAGAAAAACAAGCGAAGGTGAATTGTAACATTTGGAATGAATTTTGGCTTGATTTTTCAAACAAGAAATTTTCATTCGGAACTGGAATTCAGTATGGCTTAAATGAAGTATTTAATGTTCTTTTAAGTACTCAACTGATAATTTCAAAACTGAGCATATTAAACAAAGACAACAGTATTGCTAATTTATTTACAGTTTATGATACAGGTTTGCATTGGTTGATTTTCCTATTAAAACCTTTAATTTGCTGCCAATTTAAGATGGAAGAAAGGTCAGTTTTGAAAATCCTTCACAATGCGCGAAAAACCTACCGCGAAACGCTATTGCTCTCATGGATAGTTTATATGAGAGTTGTTCAACCATTGAAACATTAGACTGGATAATGAAGTTACGCCTTCTCTCTGAAAAATCTTTTCATATATTTAAGCAATCGCACCCTTCTATAACTCTAAAACATGGAATAACTCTAAATGACGATATTAACGTTACATTTCACTATGAAAATGTTAACAAGATGAATACTCCCTGTTTGCTGAAGGAAAGAATAAAATCTGTTGACAACTTAAATACTTATCGGTTTCAGTGTGGAGAAACTTTTCAGATTGTTAAAGTTGTTTTCTTTCGTGTCCTTCTTTCTGTAAAGGAAATAATAAATCAAGTTGAAGTTTGTCACACCTACCCTTAAATAGTTAATGCATACAAATGTTGAGGATATGTCATTAAATTCTGTTAAAGATAATAAATGTTTGACATTGAATACAACAATATTTAACAAACGATTCTTCTAACTTTATTCTTCAACTTTGTTCCTTTTGTCCGGATAAGACAGAAAACGTCCACAAATTGGTGCTTTTACCCTAACCCTAACCCAGCCCTTAGCTGTACTTAACCTTTTTCCTTTACCCCTAACCCTCAGAGGAGACCCTCCTAACTACAAATCAGTTGCTGTTTTCTTTTGCCTAACCATTTCTCAATCCAAATTTTTGTCTTGAAATTTCTCATTTGTGGACGTTTTCTGTCAACCCCATTTCACCTTACTCTGATATCACTGAATGAGCATTAAGTTTTAAATTGTTGTTGAAAATGACGCTTAAGGCTGTTTTTATACTGATGTGACATTTGAAAATATGATAATTCCAAAATACAATTATTGCTAATGGTGATTTCAAAATTTGAAATAGTACAACTGTATGACTGTTTTATGCATATATCATCTTCAAGCTGCCCAAAAAGGTCAAGGTCACCTTATTTCCAAGGTTTGTCCCTAGAGCTGAGCAAAATACTTCTACCATGAAATCTTTGAAATCTCCATTATACAAGGAATTTGCAAAGCAATTTATCATTCTATAAAGTCTTGGTTGTCCTTTACTATTTTCCCCAAGTTTCCTTTTAATTCCATGAATTAAAGTATGAGCTTACTCGCGTTTGGGACCGGTCGAAAACGGCCATAAATGAAATATTTGAAAGTTAGATTTCAGCCTGGGAAATGGTTAGGAGAAATAAGATAACTGTTGATATGTTCTTAGGAGGGTCCCATCTAAGGGTTAGGGGTATTCAAAAAGGTTAGGCAAAAACAAGGCCTGGGTTAGGGTTAGGGTAAAACCATAGATTTATGGCCGTTTTCTACCACATCCCTCGCGTTTTACTGTACTTGAATGCAAACATATTCAATGTAGGTGCCCATGAGGTAAGTGAACACATAATTTATTTCCATATTAAGTTCGAACAATACAATTAGGCTTCACGCATAAGTGATATAAGTAGATTGAACAGGGTGGGGGTGTGAACATACCCTTATTATTACTTGAATAATATATATGAGGTTGAGCGCATTATCTGCTATTTATATTCTCTATCCCTAAATTGGAGCCCCTCTAACAATAAATCCATCCAAATTTTCAAACGAACCCTTTCCTAAAATGTTTTCAGAGTTGGAAATATTGGCTAACAGGCACATTCGCACCCGACCCCCCATTAAACATAGTTTAAGAAAATTGAAATATACTTTTAAGAAGTTAAGTACATGTTCGATGCTGCTAATCATAAATCCATTACTGTTTTATTTGCGTAATTTGAAATCATTTTACAACATGAAGATACTTTCTTCATAAAATACGTCTTTATCATTGATAGTAAAGGAATTTTTACCCTTAATCTTGCCATATTAGATTGTTTTTGTCTAAAACCACGAGGATGAATTTTGGTAATCAATTGACCTCGCAATTTTATAAAAAAATATAAACGTTAAAGTTACCATTTCATATTTTTCTTTAATATAAAAAGTAAACAGATTAATATATTTATACTGTATATATACTTGAAAAGTATTTCTACATCACAGTATTTGTTACACTCTTCAACACTTGCCATAAGTAGAGTTGTTAAATTAAGAAATTGATATTGATCAACCATGTACCTGACAACAAAAGAAAAGTTTTCAAACCAAAAAGTCCAAAAGTATGCACCACCTCCAACAAACAGGTATTATAAGAAAAATCAAACAGCAAAGACAATCCTGAAAAAGGAACCTAAGCTGCAAAAATTAGAAACATTAGACAATGATAGCATGTCAGAAAATGATGAAGTTCAAGATATTCTCCATTTTTCAGATAGTGAAGAATCCATTTGTCAGCTGTTACAAAGCAAACAATCTGAGCAAAATGCTTTAACATTTATTGGACAATTTGAAACTAATACTGGTTTTAAGTTTGATGACTTGATAGACTCTGGTAGTGACAGATCATTTCAAAAAAGGTATTAAGACAAGTTCAAGGAAAAGCATCCTTCCCAGAACAAACTGTGAAAAATGCTAGAGACGCTTCAGGTAATAGCATAGAGATATGTGGAGAAATCATTCTCAGACTTTATTTTAATGGAAAAATTATTAAACAATGCTTTCTGATCAACAAAATCATTATACAACAATGTATTATTGGGTGTGACTTTCTACAACAAAATGGAGCTACCCTTGACTTTGGCAAGAGGCAGATTATACTCCAGCCAGTTATGGAAAAGAATTACCCTATTGGAACACAACACTTAGCTTTCAAAGGAAAGCTCAGTTCCTCTTACTATGAAAAAGAATGAGAGTCAAATACATATCATTCAGACAACAATTGAACAAGAAAATCCTGAGATGAAGCAAAAAGTTACCCAAATTCTGGAGAAATATAAAGAAACTATTGCAAAAGACATATTTAATATTGACAATCCCTGGAAATTACTCTTGAACCAGGTTCAACACCATATAGACAAAAGCCCTATAGAATGCCTCCTCATAAACAAGAAGAATGCAAACAACAACCAGCTGAAGGATTATGTGTTTCATGTTTGTCATCGAAACACAAGACTTGCAAAACATTCTCAATGACAAAATTTAAACAATTGAATGAGAAATTAAATATAATTTTAGGTGAATATTACAAAAATACAACAGAGGTTATGAACAAAATTAATGAATATGAAAAAAATGCTGGGAAAAAATACAAAATTATTATAATATTGTCAGACAAAAGTTTATTCTACCAAATGAACTTAGTTTGAATTTTTTCAAAACATTTTCAAATCAATGTGAAGAATTGTAAAATCTTTTGAAAAATTAAGAAAATTGAAAATAGAAATAGATAACAGCATTAAAGTTCAATATGGATTTCACAACTCTTGTGATATTATTGATCAGGTTAAAATTGAAAACTTTGATAACAATCAAAAGGAAACATTTTCAATACTTAAAAAACACTTGATAACAGAGAACAAATTAGTTATTGATATGTCTGAAGAGCCTATTACAGAGAAGAAGATTAAAGATTTCGCAAAATTAACATTGAAAAATCAATTAATAGATATCAACTTCACTGCCTGTAGTTTGAAAACAGTACAATGTAAGGAAATTGGAAATGTCCTAAAAGATTGTTCAACAATAGAAGCAATTAATCTATCAAAGAATAAATATATGGATAGAGGAATTATAGATATTTGTGAAGTACTCAAAGCATCATCAGATACTTTGAAAAATCTTTCTTTTAATTCAATGAATTTAAAATCAAACCAAAATACACTGATTGGAAATTTTCTTAAACATTGTTCTAGAATTGAAACAATAGATCTATCTTGGAATAGAGATATGGGGGATGGAATGATTGCTATTTGTAATGGACTTAAAATGTCATCAAAAACTTTGAAAAATTTAAATTTAAAATTCAATAACTTAAATGAACAGCGAAGTGAAGAGATTGGATATTTGCTGAAATTTTGCAACAGAATAGAAACAATAAATCTTTCTGGGAATGAAGATATTCAAATACGGACTATTTGTGATGGACTTCAAATGTCATCAAATAATTTGAAATATATTGATTTAGAGCTTTGTTATTTAAATGATGAACAAGGTAAAAAGATTGGACATTTTCTTAAAATGTTGTTCCAGGATTGAGACAATAAACCTTTCTGGAAATGGAAATATCAAAAATCAAATATGGACTATTTGTGATGGACTTCAAAAATCATCAAACTCTTTAAAGAATATTTCTTTAAATTCAATGAATTTGGAAGAAAAACAAAGTACAGAAATTGGAAATTTGCTGAAAAATTGTTCCTCAATTGAAACAATTGATCTATCAGTAAACAATAATATGGGGAATGGATTTTTGAATATTTGTGAAGGACTAAAAATGTCTTCAGACACTTTAAAAAATTTTGGTGTGAATTAAATTGTAAACAAAGTATTAAGATAGGAAACTTGCTAAAACATTGTTGCAGATTGGAAACCATATGTCTATCTCAGAACATATATATGGGAAATGGATTATCAAATATTTGTGAAGGACTTGAATGGTCATCAAACACTTTGAAAAATCTTGATGTAAGTTATTCTCAATTGAATGAAACACAAAGTATTGAGATTGGAGAATTGCTTAAACATTGTTCTAGAATTGAAACAATATGTCTTTCTGGGAATAAACAAATGGCTAATGGAAAATTGAATATTTGTGAAGGACTTCAAATGTCATTAAACACTTTAAAGAAATTTGCTTTTGATGGTTGTAATTTGAATAAAGTGGACTTCATAAAAATTGGAACACCTCGAATTTTGAATAGGCCAACATATTAAATTTTTTCTGCATAAAATGTTAGATGAAGCTTAAATTTATATATAATTTTCTTTCAAATATGATTTAGGTAAGATTTTATATCATTTTTTTTTGTTTATATTATGTACTGTTTTATTGATTTTTTTTTCTTATTTGGCATGCACTTCATAATAATTGGAACACCAACAAAAATGTTTATATTATTCCTACTTTTGTATCTGACTACCCTCTTTTTCGATGCATTGCCATTCCATCATATAGACATGGTAACAACCCTGGCTGCTCTTTTATAAGCTCATAAGAGCATTTTTTGATTATTTTTCACAATTTGTCCTCTGATTCAAATTGTGGACCATTGTATACCAGGTTTTTGGTAAGGTGCCACATGTTCTCAATTGGGCTGAGGTCGGGGCTCTTTGCTGGCCAATCAAGAGGATGGATATCATTCATTTGAAGGCTCTTTTAGTTGTCCTCGCTGTGTGGCACCCAGCATTGTCTTGCTGGAAGATGTATTTCCTCCCCATTTTTGCCTCAATCTCTTTTGATTGAGACTATTGCAGGGTTGGGTTAGGGTTACAGGGAGATCTCTTTTTAGTTGATTATTGGAATATGATCCTTGGAGCTTGCTTTTTAATTGTTGTCAAAAACATTGCATACTAGGCCTTTAAACACATTGATATTATCAATTGAAATATTAACATGTGATTTTTTTTGCTGAATATGGAAAAAATGTAAGAAATTGAAAAATTCAAATAAAACAAGGTGTAAATTTAATATTAAGTTGGAAAAGTATGTTATTTTGATGTAAATGACCAATTTAACAACATTGAATTAGTGGATTTTGTTTATTTTTGGAATTCTAATAAGTAACGTTGTTATTTGTCCTAAATTAAAAATTTAATGAAATTTAACTAATTAGGAAAACAGTTGTATGACTTTTATTTGGAAATTAACCCTGTTTTTGATTGTAAAACTTTTATATTTATCCTCCCACTAAATAAATATATATTATGCTGGCTGGCCAGTTGTTTATCCCTTTTGCTACTTTGACAAGTTTACAAATATCTTTGTTGTTTCCTGGGATTGTGTGCTAATGTACCTGAGTGTCAATCTACCTAGGTGTGAATATGCCCCATATGGTTCACGCCCTCTTTTTCTTTATTATGCCATTGTTAATATTATTGATTCAAAAGAGTGGAGACATTAAAATGAATATGAGTTTATATAAAGTGTATTATTTATAATTGCCTTTGAAAACATACTCTGCTTTTGTAAACATCATTAATAATTCACCATTATAAATTGCTATTAAAACTCAATTAATCTTTATCATCATTCTCAAACAAAAACTGTAACAGTTTATTTATTAATGAAGTTTAACTAGACGTTCTTTGTATAATCAATTTCTTTGTGTAAATTAGTATAGTTTTACAGAAATTGCCTTGCTCAAAATAAGTAAATTGGCTGGTAATGTGTTTGTTTTTCATAGCAAGTTGAAAGTATTAAGTACATTTTATAGTGAAATAAATTCAATATAGAAAAATAAATTCAATATTATTACAAATTTCGCATGTTAAACATTTACATATGCCATCATTAAAATGACGTAATTTGTACGATTTTCCATCAAAAAATGTAAATGAGATAAATTTATCATGAACATTTCGCAGAGTAAGAGACATTTGTTGAGAACAGATTCCAGAACTTTTAATAAGGACTCTTAATTATGTATTTGTTAAATTTGCATATTTGATCTGATAACTAAAAATCCAGACTTTACAGTTAAACATTTGTTTTGTTCAACATCATTTCCAATTTCTGCAATAATTTCATCTTCAGCAGTTAAAGAACAAGTTATACCAGTTATCGTTCCATTAGGTACGGGCTGAATTGAATGGATGTGACAGAAATGTCCACAAATGAGTGCTTTTACCCTAACCCTAACCCAGCCCTTGGCTGTATCTAACTTTTTGCATTACCCCTAACCCTTAGAGGAGACCCTCCTGAGTACAAATCAGTTGCTGTCTTCTTCTTTCTAACCATTTCTTAATCCAAAAAAGTCTTGAAATTTCTCGTTTATGGACGTTTTCTGTCGACCCCGAATTGAATAGATTGAATTTATAAAATTATTCAATTCAAGAGCATCCTTGCAGTTTCGATAAATTGATTCCAAGTTTGAAAATTTAAATGATCCAAACAGATTTAGAATTATAAGAAAGTACATCATATTTTCACCTAGGAAAAGAGAAAGAGAGATAAAAGTAAAGTGACAACTGTAAAAAGATATACAGCTTTCATTCAATATTTAAAAACTATATCAAGTAATAAAATTAGAGATTAATAATGTATTTTATTGCATTTATCATTTTAGATGAAATTTTTCCATAAAATGCCAAAAAACAAAACTTTTTAAATGAAAACAATTAATGATCTATTTACCTTTCCCAGAGAGTATCTTACAAATGAAAATCTATGAATTAATTGTTTAAAATACAATCTAATCCTAAATCAATACCAACTTGACTAAGATGTTGTGCAAATGAAGGGAATTGCATTGAAAATTGCCAAGAATTTTATAAATTAACATAATTAAACATAACAGATTCGTTCAAAAAATTTAACGCTTTTCTTATACCATACCTGTTGGAATTCCTCTCTGAAATTCACTTTTCAACTGTTGAACTCTGATTCATAAATATTTATTATTCAAAGCCTGTAAGTCATCTGCATTCTTCTTTCCTTTCCTTGTTCTTCAATTGATCAACAGCAGCTAAAGTCTATAGAGAGTTGGATTTTCCAATATATGAATAAATAATATTCCACCAATATTACAACTATACTCTGCATAATCAATGTCAATCTCCTAAAACATTGACATTTATTTGAGAAATATTTTATGTGAGAAAGAGAATAGATTTTTCAAATTAACCCATTCAATAAATTTATATGAAAGATACGTTAAAAATGACATTTAGTATGGTGGTGGTAGACGTGTGTGTGTTTCATGAAAGGCTTGGCGGTGTGAGTGTTTGGGTATGTGTGTACTTTGATGTATCGTGATTGTAGGAATTTCGTTCTCGTCCCAAACGTATTCGTCCGTACCGCTCATTTATTACACCAAAGTACTTGTCCAAATAGAACCTCAATAAACATAAAATTGACTTTTCAAATTTAATCTCCATTAGCATTTTCTTTAATAATGAAAAAGATCTATTCGTATGTAAAGATTTGGTGGTAACTACAAGTTTAATAAAAAATGCAAAATGTTCATTGGTAGAGAGTTCTTATAAGTTGACATTAATTTAATTAATAGATTTCAGTGATTATACTCAAATTGGCAATGGATTATCAATGATTCTTAATGGGCTATTTTAATCCTCAAGTACATTGAAATATATATCTATTTAAAAAATTGTAATTTGTCTGAAAAAGAATTTGTCAATGATGGAAAATTGTTCGAAAATTCAATAGCATTCTAGATTATTGACATAAACCATAAACGTTCATTTGGTAATGGTTTAATTATACATTTGCAATGAACTCGTCCAATTAGCAGAGGCATTGACAACTATCGATTTGTCTGGTTGCCAAAAAGGATTTATTCAATGAAATTATTTTGGAAACTGAAGAAAATTTTAAAAATCTATAGTTTTTAATAGTAATGAAAAAACTGGAGTTGAAGTTATGAATATTTATAATGACTCGACCCTGTCTTGAATTGTTTGAGCAGCTTGCTCTCTAAACGAAAATAACTATTCCTATTTTGGACTATTTTTAAATCAATGTAGAAATATTTGTTCTATAAACTTAAATTGTAAACAGCAATCTAATTGAAAAGTTGGTGTAAGGATTTTTCCAATTTCCATATGTTTAGTAGTTGCATAACAATTCCTTAAAGGGTGGAAATTGTCGTTTCAAAAGAACAATATGTTCAGTTTTTCTACTTTTCTAAATATTACTGACATAGTTGAAAACACAATGATAATTCATAATGAAAAAACTTACATGTTTTCATCGTGTTCCCTACTATGAGCGTTTCATTTTTTATTATTATTGAAGATTATAAATTGATGACAATATAAAATCTATTACAGGCATAAGGTTTATAAAACTTATGAGTTTGTGAATAGCTTTCTATTGTGTTAAAGAATATTATAGTTTGATTTTTGTTCCTATAATAAATATATTCATTTCTATTCAATCCATACAAAATGTTTTATGTAAAATAATGTAGAATGAAATCTTTTAGTTTATTGTACAAGTTTAAAGAAGATCAATGATGATACCACATTTCTTGTACATTTTTCCAAATCTTTTACTTTGCATCCGTAGGTTGAGTTTTCTTCATATTGAACAAGATTTTTAAGACGAAAAACGCAAACTTTATTATCTTAGATCAAGCTACTCAAGCAAACTTGTTGAATTTAGCAAGAGGTAAGTTATCCTTTCAGAGCTCTACATATGGAGGCGTTACAGCACCCATGGAACCTGGTTTTGCTATTGATAGTAATGTTGGTGTTTTACTTACAAATGTACGTACACAAATAAATGTACATATCAACTAGATATTATGCGTTCTATTCAGAAAGTCGAGATTACCATTAAAGAAATACTGTTTTTTTTTCAGGAAAACAATAATTGCTCAAGAACAAGTAAACATAGTTCAGAAAAGTCTTGGTGGTCAGTTGATCTTGAACAAATTTATAGTATTACCGAAGTATGTCTTCTCAACGTAAATGACAATATCTGTAAGTAAATTAACAAATAATGTAGATTGAAAATCATTAGTTCATAATATTTAATGTCCAGACGACAGACTTCAGCAATTTCATATTCTTCTTGGGAAATTTCCAAATAATGAGAATAGCATATGTAAATTCGTGACTGATCCAGTGAAAAGACCAACTTCAACAGATTCTTCTCAGTACAGCTGTTATTCTTGCAATCCTGATTCTATAGGCTCTTTTCTTACAATAAGATTGATAGCTGTTGATATAGAGTTGATACTATGCGATGTAAATGTTAGAGGAAAGTTAATCAATGACAAAAGAGGTAGGGCAGCAGTACAGATTTTAGCAAATTGAAATAAACAGAAAAATCCTAAAATCATTGCCTTTTATAAAAAGCTTTTCATCTGTTAAATTTCGCAAATTCAAAAACAACAACGGGAGGACATCGAACTACTCATGTAAAAGAAAATGGATATGACAATGACTATAAAACACTCTTTCATTCAAGAGGGTGGTTTTGCAAAACCATATATCTTATTCGATAATCTAAGAATCTTAAGATACCATAGAATAATTTTTGTTTCATTATACAATGATGGTTTGTAATGAGCTATTTGTTTCGACATTTCAATTTTTATTTGAAATATTTATTAAAATGTCTTTTTCAGATCATCATAAAAGATTTAGAAATGTTTACATTTCTATTAAAAATATTCCGGAAACAAACTTCAATCCAAACAGTATTTTTTGCGTAAAAGATTTTTCAGGAAAATTCACAACGAAATACGAATTATTGAACGTATTGTGTGATCCTGCTCTTATTGGAAGATACCTGATTGTCAGCCGGGAAGATAATACTTATAATTACAAATTATTAGAATTTATGGAGATATATATATATATTTCAGAAATAGATCAACATGAGCCATACAGTTTTGTATTTAAATTACAACTTATAAAAATTAAATTACGTAAACTTTCATTATTCTGATCGCAGAAACTCCACATTCATTTAAACATTACATCACTCAAGCAACATTGAATGACGTTTCTCTATCGACAAACCAATTAGATTTATTAAAGGATGATGTTTACTATATTAATGATAATGATGGACAAATATCTTTGGCGTCAAACGATGTACTCGTTCTCACTACAAAGCTTGTTCATATTAATTCACTGTGTCTAAGAGGTTTATCATTTTAGGAATATCTTACATCAGTATATTTTGTATGTTTTTTTTCAGTGTTTCATGGAACAAATTCGAAACCTGGAATTTTAATTAAAATTACTAATTTTCTAACTGGAACAATAACCTCAAAAGAGATACCTGGCGATTTTAAACATTCGCACACAGTTTGTGTCCAATTCGGCTTTCTCCTGACAAAAAACATAAAAATAGAATCGCCAGATAGTCGAGGTTTGGCAGAAGTTGATCTAATTGCAGTTTCATCTTTAACACAGAAAAGTTAGTTTTCCATTTTTATTTACTCAAACTAAATTATAGCTAAAAAAATTTGCAGTTGGAGGAAAATGCTTAGAAAACAACCACAAATGGACATATCCAACTTCTCTTCTACCAATCAATTCCGATTTATTTTATTACATTTTGCTGGAAGGTGTAAATACTGCTGATGAAATTGTAGTCTACAAATTAAAAAATTCCACATATCAATCAGCAAATTTGTGTAGCAGTATTCAAATTTCGGATGAAGATTGGAATTCCAGAAACTACTTACTCTTTAAATGTAAAAAATTTGATGGATTTATTGAAATTAGTCATTATCTTTTACGGCAAATCGTTACTCTTTTGCACATTTTTTAAGCCACTTTCCCTTCCTTTTATTTTTTTATCTATATATGGCGTTGACAAAAAACAATCACAAGTAGTCAGGAAGAACAAGACAGTAACTGAGTTACACTTAAGAATGTCTCCTCAAATGAAAAAGGTAATGGGAAAGGTTAAAACAAAGATAAAAGCATTGATTTGTGGTCGTTTTCTATCGCACCAGTTCTATATTCACTTTAAATCTGTAGAAAATAAACCACTTTTAACCATTTGAACATGTATCAAAAAATGTGTTGTTCATGCCTCCATTTCCATTCAAATCAATTATGTATATTTTATGGTTTTTCTTATAGCAGGTCTCCTGTTTTACTACATTTTTCTACACCTAGACAAATAATTAGGATATAATTACCATTTTTTTAAAAGTTTTTCAGGTATTTCCCGCTTTATATACTAAATTAATTTTCAAGAAAATTCAAAAAAGAATGAAATAAAATTTTTCCTAATCCTAGAATGACAGCTAAAACTTAGCCCTATACTTTACCCAATATGCATGTTTTGTCTTGGGCTTGCTTGATGCAGGGTAGAGTTAAATGCTTAAACATAATTATATCTTGCTTTTATTGTATAACAATGTTTCTGTTGACATTTCAATAATTTTCGCAGAAAAAATGTTATGTTAAACTCGAAATCATTTTTTTAAGAAACGTTAAAATGTTTAACTCTATTATCGCTCATATATATTTTAAATATCACTGTTTGAAAAAGGCCAAAAAATTTGAGCATGAAATTTTAAAATTTGACATTTATTGAAAATTTTTTTAAAATATAGAGATTTTCTAAAATTTAAAATTAAAATGTGAACGTTGAGAAATAAGTCATTCTGAAATTTTAACTAAAGAATGTAGGCGATTGGTGTCACTCGGATATATTTATAGTAGAGTATACAATATAGGCCTAAATTTTTTTTATTTGATATATTAGTTTTAAAATGCTCTGTAAGAAATGGAAAACATTGCCAATGAAGGTACTAAAGTAAAACTCATGACTTTCAGAATTAAATATACTTATTTTATATACATTTATCAAATATATGTACTTTTTAATGTGAATTTTCTAACGGTAACTATATTATCTCTCGCAAGTTGTTTACTCACAGCGACACCTGTGTATTAAAGACGAGAATTTATTATTTGGTAATCATTTCTACCATAGAATATGGCAGAGACTGGCTACATTTGCACTCTTGAAGAAAAGTATATTAAGAAAGCTAAAGATGAATTGAACGAAATACCAAGTGATAGATTATCAGCTGTTCAAGCTTTAAGAGATTGGATCAACGAGCAGAAACATATTAAATTTGATACAAGTTTGTTATTTTTCTTTTGCTATTATAAAAGTGATATGAAATTTGTTTATTGTTTTATAGAAACATTGAACTTGATCAGATTTTTAAGGCATGCCAAATACAGTCAAGCTAAAGCAAGAGAAACAATTGAAAATGTTATCAAGTTTGTCCTTAACAATCAACTGTATTTTTTAAATTTAGATTCTCAATGTGATTTAATTCAAGATACTGTTAGAAGAGGGTAAATATTAGTTATTAAATGCAATCTAACAAAAAATAATATTCCATTTTTATCTTCTGTTTTTAGTCAATTAGTCCTTTTACCTGGATACGACAATGAAGGTCGAATTATAGTACTCTATAAATTAAGTGTGTTTTTCAATAAAATTTTCTTATTCTTGACAATTAGAGACTGTATGTTTTTAGATATGATATCTTTTGAAGAGCTGAAGAAGAAATACAAATTTATGACCTTTATTAAGACCCTCAATGCAATTATTTTGACCCTCAAAGATGATGAAATGTTTCAAGTGAATGGTTTTCAAATGATTTTTGACATGACTGGTTTTAATTTGAAAATGTTATCATTATTCCATGATCCCGAAGCTGTTAGATTTAATAAAGAGAGTCAGGTAACAAATATTTTCACAATATTTCTTTCCAATATTAAAATTCAAAAAATAACAAACAAAACTAGAAAGCTCAAGTGGGAAGAATGAAAGGCATACATTATTATAATATTGGAATACTCTTTGAAGCTCTGTTTTCAATTTATAAACCCTTCATGAGCAAGAAGCAAAAAGAAAGGGTAAGGTGTTTTTTTTGTGAAGATAACCGGATCTTTGTCACAATTACTTTCTTTTTTAGCTATATGTTCATGAAACTTTGGAATCGCTGTTCAATCATATTCCTAAAAGAATGCTACCAGATGAATATTTACCTGATGAATATGACGGACAAAGAGCCGGGTCTCTTCTAGATCTTGGAGGTACTCCAATAAAAATAAACTTCAATTTGAGCAAAAATAAATTTAATTATTCTTTATTCTCTTTTCAGCTGAAACGGGAGAGAGATTACTCAAATATAATGATCAAATTCTCGAGTTTACTAATCCAGATAACTTCGGTTTCGATGAGAGCAAGAAATCTTCCGACGAACCTCTACAACATTTCAGGAAATTAAATATTGATTAAAAAGAATTCTAAATTGACTTTTATTCAAAGTTTCAATATTTGTTCCAATTCATTTCATGATTGCCTATGTTTTTCGAATAAACATTTTGTCACATTAAAGTGTTTTTCAATTTTATAAATGTAGAATTTTAGGGTTACGTGTAAAAGGCATGTCATGGAAAACGTTTACAAATCTTTCCTTTAACAAAACCCTAACCAAGCCCTTGTGTTTGTATAATCATCTTCAATAGTCCTAACCCTCAGATGGTTTCCAAAAACTACATCTCAGTAGCTATCTTATTTTTTAACCTAAAATCTAACTTCCAAATATCTCATTTGTGGACATTTTCCATCACCCCTGTTTAAAATTAGGGATATAGAAATAGAAGAGATATGTCTCGTTTCTCTTGTATAACAACATTGTAATAAATTTCATGCAAAAATTTAATGTAAAACCCGTAAAACAACTCAACTTGTAGTCTTTTCAATTTTATTAGTCCTACTTTTATAAATAATACATCTTTTTTAACTTCATTATCGCTCATGTATATTCTAAATATCACTTTCTATCACATGTCAAAAATTTGTGTATGTACTTTCCTGCTGAGGTTGTAGGTAAGTACTGGTCCAAATAGAACCGAACCAGGAGTAAGCCACTTAGAAGAGAGATGTAGAATTAAATTTAAAAATTGACACTTACTCATAAAAATTATTTGAAAGGTTTAACTTTTTTTAAGTTTAAGTATAAAATGTCAATGTTGATTATTGAGCCATTTTATAATTTCAACTAAAAAATGTAGGCGATTGGTGTCAATTGGATTTATTTATAGTAGAATGTATAATGTAGCTTTTTTAAAATGGTTGGGAGTAAACGATCCAGTTAGCTGAACTTTAGGGTAAGATTACGAGCTTTTCTAGGGTTAGAAAAATTTTAATTTGAATATTTTTGAGGTTAGGTAGGGCTGAACTGATGGTTGGGAAGGGTAAAGTGGATAGAATCTTGTTATTTATTGAGTTAGGGTTAAGGCTACACGCCAAAACATGGACCGTTTTCTCCCATGTCCCTAGTTTACTCCTCTTAACCATTTTCAATCCAAAATCTTGCCTTCAAATATCTTTCAATTCTGTTGACCCCTATATACAAAATATCAACACAAGATTTTTGTCTTTAGTATAAATGTATTCAGCGCTATATGAAAATTTCAAACAATTTGTTTGTTACATTTGCCTATTACAATTTCATTTTAGGGTTAGCATTTAGATAATGCTGGAAAAAATAATCTTTCAAAAGGAATATGTAAAAGACAGAAGGACGCCTAAAGCATGGAAAGAGTCTTCACTATAAAATTACCATATTTCTCTCCGTTGTTTAGTTATACGTGATCGATTCTCTGTCACGTGATACACACTTTTCAATATGACTGCTGAACAATCTCAATTCGAACTTGAAGAAATAGAATGTGAAATTTGTTTAGATTGTTGGATGGATGATCCAAAAATACTGTCTTGTCAACATACATTTTGTATAAAGTGTTTCAGGGAATTACCAATTAAAAATTTTCAAATTTTTTGTCCAAAATGTGGAGCAAATTGTCCAATACCCAAAGAAAACTGGATAGACAAACCAGTAGTTAATGATTCTGTAAAGAAGAATGGATTATCTTATATATGTAATGGACTCTATCAATCCATCAACACTTTAAAAGATGTCACATTTTTTAATTGCTATTTAAATGAGGAAAACTGTAATCAGATTGGAAATATGTTGAAATATTGCTCAATATTAGAAAATATTCATATAAGGTGGAATAGAAATATGGAAAATGGAATAATTCATATTTGTGAAGGTCTTTTTCCATCATCAAATACTTTGAAGGTTTTAGATTTTTATGGTTGTAATTTAGACGTTGAAGGATGCAAGCAAATTGGAAATCTTTTAGAAAATTGCTCTATAATAGAACAAATTGATTTGGGATGGAATAAATCAATGAAAACTGGTATAGATTTTATTTGTAAAGGTCTTTCTCAATCAACTAATTCATTGAAATATATGAATTTTATTAATTGCAACATAAATGAAGAACAATGTAAAAGTATAGGAAATCTCCTTCAAAGTTGTTCCAGTTTCGAAACAATTAACTTATATGGAAATAGTAGGGTAAAAGAAGGTATATTTGCTATTTGTAAGGGACTAATTCAATCATCAAATACCTTGAAAAACATCACTTTTTGCAATTGTAATTTAAGTGATGAAATTTGTAAAATAATTAGAGAAATGTTAGAAACATGCTCTGAATTGGAAAAATTAGATTTAAGTTTAAATCATGAAATAGGAAATGAATTTTCTTTTGATATTTCTCAACAATTGTTTAATTTAAATATTTAGACAAAAAGTTGAAGATAATCTCCCAGGAATAAAACAAAAATTGTAATAAAAATGATATGAAAATTTTTTTATTATTCCCTCATTTGTAATTTAGAGAAACATAAGAGTCTCTCTCATTCATCACATAAAGCACCTACACATTTCTCAGTCTATAATTTACTCCATCTAGAGTCTATAATTGATATTACCATAGAGTAATTTAGGTCTATATTTTTGTTAAATATACATTTATCCATTATTTGAATCAAGTAAATGTTCTTCAGCATAAATGACTTGAACAATGTTTAACACAAATGAAAGAGAAAACCTCTCAGTAGGCTAGAGTTTGAGGTAAGATTTGGGGCATTTCAAGGTTAAGAAAATTTTGATTTTGATTTTTTTTCAGGTCATGTAGGACTGGCGGTTGGAAAACGCAAAATTGAGAGTCCCATTAACTGCTAGTTTAGAGTTTGGGTAAAACACCAAAAAATAGGATGTTTCTCAACATTACTGTCACAAATATATTTCTTACATTTGATATAATATGTTATAAATAATTTCTATAGAAAATTGTCTTTTCCTAGTTTAAAAACTAAATTTTCAATGTTTACATTATTTTTTTTCCCTCTCGGAAAACCTTTCTATGTCAAGTGATCAATACCTTGTAAAAGATCGGAGGAAATATCAATTATAAAAAACGAGTGACATTACTTTATATTTTAGACTTGGCGATGTAGTTTCATAATTTTCAGGATAATGTCATATGGAATTAACAAAATGCTGTATCTATGAAACCAAGCAGATAGGGCGCTGTCTGTTCGTTAATTTTATATACTTTATTTTCTTGTTAACCAATAAAAGAAGATCTAAGGCCACGCGTCCCCCATGTTTTTTTTACAAATCCAATTTCTCTTGGAAATTATCAAATTTTTGTTCAATACCACTAAATATTTAAAAATTGAGAAATATAACTAGACAAATATTGATCAACTGTTAGAATAATTAATGCTACTCTAACAAATTTATTGTACTTAAAACATTGATATATCATAATTCGTCGTAAATATAGACGAGAATAGACTTTTTCAATATACTCAATATATTAAGTATAACATACACTTTCAGATAATTACTAATTGCAATCATTTATCTCTTTTTTAATATATGTTGTCTGTTCAAATGATGAGCTCTGTGAAGAAATCTCTGTTATCAAATGACAACGTTTACCACTAGTTCGGTATACAAATCCTCTAAAAAAAGAATGTAAATAATGCTAGAATTTTGGAAAGAAGGTATGTTTTTATTACAAACTTGCAAAGAAGATCAGCAGTACAAACGTTCAAACATATTTCAATGTCTAAACCTTTCATCGAACTCCATTTGAATATTTCTGAATAGTATGGCTGAGATCCAAAAATTCTATCCACATGAATTTCGTATTCTGTAACTGTTTGAATTATTTTTTTATCAAAATGAATTTTTGAAATCGTATTAGTAATCATTTTTACTTTTTGGCATTTTTCCCACAATCGAATAGCCAGTACTGTTTGTTATTGAAGTAAATTCTGTACCTAGATAGCAGTGTAGTGACACATGAAAAGTCACTGCTCTAAATAATAGTTAAAGGTTTACTGGAAAGTGTCTTACAAGTTATCTACTCTACTTCTTAGTTAGCATTCAGCAATACAATATATATACATTACATACCTGCACTTTGAACTTAAACTGCAAACATCTAGACATTCAGTAAGATCTTTAACAATTTTATTTGAAGATCCCCAAACTGAAGTAAAATACGAAGTACCTCCAATAGCTACAGAATTTGCATAAACTGAATATTCATCTATTTTTAGATAAATTAAATATGAAGTTCGATGCTCCTTTTATTAATAAATAAAAATACCTGTTAACAATTTAACATACGTATGACAGTCATTGTTGAAAGTTTCACCGGTAAAACTACTCTTTAAATTGCAATTATTGCCAGTAATATTAAAGGTAATTGCTCTGGAAAAAAGACATAGAAAGAGTTATTCTTTTAAAAAAACGGAAAAACCTGCACAATGGTTCCGAATTGCAAATACTTAGACATTCCTCAACATCTGTATTAGGAATTGTTGATAATCCAAACTTTGCAGAAACAAAAGGAAAATTTAGTGTCACAATTGAATTTTTATAAAGTTTATACTGATGCTCTATTTCTAGAAAAATAAGATTAATGAAATGAATTGCTGATGAGACAATATTTACCTGAAGGTATTTTCATATAAAGATCATGTCCATTTTTTTCCTCTTTACCTATGACAATGCTTTTAAATTCACAGGTCATATTATGAACATCAAAAGCAACTGCCCTAAATCGAAGATTGGTAAGAAAAGAATAAAGCTAAAATTTATTAAAACAACTTGCAAAGAAGATCATAACTGCAACTTCTTTTACAATGGTCAGCTGATGTTACATTTATTAAAGATGATGTCCAAATTTGGGAAAGAAGTGGAACATTAGGATTTGCGTCAGAATTTTTGTATAATTTATATTGAATTGCTTTAATTCATAAACAAAAACGAAAACGAATAAAAACTCATGTAAAATATAATAATAAAACTTTTATATATAATCACATTTTGGATGTTTTGCATAAAGCCTGAGACCCAGTTGATAATACTTTCCATAAAAAAGAGCTTTAAAATAACACCTTTTTAAGGCCACGTTGTAATCAAAAGCTCTGGAAAATTAGTTTTCGATGAAGAATAAGTAATTTTATTAGGGATATTTTTCTATTTACTTGCATCCTTCTTCAGTGTAGCATGTATCCATGCACTCTTCAACGTTCGTTACTTGAATTTCACTTAAACTCCATCGAGTAGATTCAAAAGATATACTTGGACCAGCAGCCTCATTATCAAACACATCAAATTTGTCTGAAACTGTTTTTTTTTTATATATTATTTTAAAAATAATTTAAAAGACACCTACGTGATGATTCAATACAAATATTCGAAACGGATATTAAATAGACAAGGATCAAATATATTTTATAGACCATGTCTTCTTTCCAAATGGATTAGGAAGTGAATGAAGACTGTTTTCAAATAAGGAATATTCAATACAAAATCTATATAATTGTATTGTTCAGAAATTTAACAAAACACTCCGTTTCTAACTACAAGTAAAATTTATATTTAATAATAATTTAATTATTAATTCGCAATGTATTGACTGCTTAAATAAATACTGTAATTACATTAAAAGCTCCATCTACTGGATTACAATAAAACTAGTATTTTTAATTGATATTTTTTGAATTTCGTTATTATTATTCCAAAGCCTTTTACGCTGTTCTCTAAAATTCTACTTCCATTTTACTTATTTATAAGTTAGACAAAGAAATAACTGAATCATTATTTAAAACATCAAATTTCCTTATAGTTTATTCTAAAAAAAAGAAAATTATGACTCTTTTCCAACAAAATTACAGCAAAATAGAGAATTAGAGAGAAAGATTGAAAACTTGAAATCATCTCACCAAAAGTCATTTTTAGTCAATTACTTGTGACTTTTCCAAGTCGGCATTTTCTGTTGAAAACACTTTATGTGAATTAAGAGAATTTATTTGCGAAAAAACTACAGTGCATAAAACAATTCGTCATAACTTTAGACAATATCAACTTGGCATAGTTGGAATGAACTGTAATTTTTAAAGCTATAAATATGAACAGCTTCGCAATATCGATTGTTACACGAACATACAAATTTACATTCTGTATTGCTTGACTGGAATACTTGACATTGTTTAAACACTCTAGAGATTTGGGGTTCAGGAGGTGTATAAACTAATAAGTTACTGCTTAGTGTATTTTCGCAAACTAAATCTGTTCCTCTGATAGAAATGTTAATTAAATTTAGAGGTTTATTAGCTCCTAGAAAAGGAATCCAATGGATAATTTTCATTACCTACACATGTAGAGATATCAGAACCGAACAACTTTGCCATCATATCTGTAGAATAATAAGGGTTAGGTGAGAGTTGTTCTCCTCTAATAGAACATGTTAACTCATCTCCAACTGCCGTTGTGAATTGACATTGTTCATTTGTAGAACAAATTGGATATTGTTGAAAGCGCCCACAGTTTTGTGGTTTTACTCTAATATTTTTCCTAAGCCTTTCCCATTTCTAATGCATATCTATCGAAAGATCTCACTTGTTCAGGTAAATGAGAATGAATAGTTCCTTAGAAAAATCCTTTCGTTTTCTGAAAACAGTATCTATTGCTATATAGTTCGTTGGTGATAGTAAAACCTTGACAAGTTGAATCTTCAAGGCAATGTTTAGCACATAATCAGAGATCTTAAGCTTCCAATACTGCTACATGATAACTCAAGTCAAACTTGTCAAGAACTCCTTTTTTTATAAGTAAATCCTGATACAGCATATTTTGGTAAAAAAACATCCATAATTCTCATCAAAGCAATTCAAATTTTTCCAACCACTAGCTTTGCATTCACTTTGGTTTATGTCACTTTTGCCTATTCTTATTCTTTTGTCAATGCTAATATCACATTCATCATCAAAATATCCTGCAAACGTTGATCTTATTTGACAAATCAAAAAATGTAATAAAAAGATACGGCAATGTAGATTTCGGATAGGGGTGTGAACGTACCCATGAAGGGTTCGCACCCGACCCCATAGATTTCTCATAATACCACTTGTCTCTAATGATAAAAAGAAAACAAATGTTGAAATAAGCTTCTTTGTATACGAAAAACAACAAAAATACGTAAGATTCTCTATGAATTTTAACCAAAAAATATACATAAATAACATAAAAAATGTAAAAAGAACATATACATCATAAAATAATGATACATTATAAAATTTTTGGATTATTCTTTACATTTTTCACCTTTCAGAAAAAATATCTATATACACGAATTTTTCACTAGAGGGGTGAATTACTGATGAATTGTAAATATAATACTATTATCTCTATATGTATTATATATTATAATATCTTATTTTTAACATTATTCACTAATTTCACTTATCTATGTTTCAAATATGAAAACATCGGAAAATTGTACAACGGCTATATTTAATTGTTTTTGCAATGTGATTTTACAGTCTATACTCTAGCAATATCCTTTCCAAAGTGTCTGCTAATTGTCTGACAACTGTGGGAGTCCAATAAAGAATGTCTGATATCAAATATTTGTAAATTTTTTGATGACCTTTCAAGTCCTCTACAAATATCTCTCCATCCTCTTCCAATATCAGAATTCCATCCTATATATAATTTTTCAATTTTTGAACATTTCGTCAATAATTTTCCAACAGATTTGCACATATTTTCATTTAATTTACAATTTTGAAAACCAATATTTTTTAGAGTATGGACAGAATTTTCAAGTCCCTTGCATATTTGAAAAAATCCATCTCCCATATCTCTATTCAATCCTATAAATATTGTACAAATTCGAGTACTTTTGGACAGGAAATCGCCAATATAAAAGGCTACATATTTTGTTATATTACAGTTTTCAAAATCTATAGCCGTTAAGTTAGCACGGAACGCGTACAATTCTTTAAAAATTATATAAACGCCATTGATCATACTTGGATTACTTCTAAAATATGTTTTTTCAATTTTTGAGCATTTCGTTAGTAGATCTCCAATACAAATGCACAAAAATTCATCAATGCAACATTCATCGAAATATAGGCCTTTTAAACTGGTTGAAGATTTTACAAGCCCTTTACAAATTGAAGAAAATCCCTGCCTTCCCATATTTCTATTACAATTTAAATGTACTTTCTCAACTGTTGAACATTTTAGCAATAAATTTCCAAGAGAAATGCTGCTGTTTTCATCTAAATTACAGTCAGCAAAATCAAGAGTCTTTAAAGTATCAGACGAAGTTTCAAGTCCTCCGCAAATAGATATAATCGCTTCTACAAGATCTTTATTAGATTTCAATTGACATGCCTGCAATTGAGTACAATTCACTAACAACTGTGCCAAAGATAATCCCATATTTTCATTTAAATTACACTCTTCTAGGTAAAGAAATTTTAATTTTGAACAAGAATTTTGCAGACCATTACAAATTGCAAAAAATCCTTTTCTCATATTTGTATTTCCTTCTAAATCTAATTCTTCGATATGATGACAATCCAAAAGTAGATTTCCAAGATGATTGCTAGCGTCTTCATCCAATTTAAACTCTGTAATACGAATTATTTTTAATGTGTAGGAGGAACATTGAAGACCTTTGAAAAGTTTCAAATTCTCATTAGCTATAGTATCATTGTGTCCAATATTGATTTGTTGAATTTGAGGACAGAGAGTGAAAAGATTTTTAAGCTCTTCACCATATTCTCCACAGAGACCGCAATTATATAAGCTTATCGTGATCAATGTTTTGCAAGATGTCTTCAATCCTTTACAAATATCAGAGAAATGCATTCCAATATTTGTATTTTCTCCAAGGTAGACATTTTCAAGTGTTGAAAAATTTCGCAATGTATCTATAATAAGTTTGCACATACTCTTATTCAAATTGCAGTTAGTAAGATCAATTTCCCTTAAAGTGTCATGTGATCTTTCAAGTTTCGTAATAATGTGTATCAAACCATTTTCAATGTTACTATTTTCTGAAATGTTCAAACATTGAATTCGACAGGAGTTTTTGATAAGATTTCCAATTACTACAGACATATTTTCAGTTATTTTACATTTTTGAAAATTAATCCT